TTTTACTGAAAAAAATTCTTCTGAAAAAAAATTTTTTTTTAATTTTTATTTATTTATTTATTTATTTTTGTCTTTTTGAGACAGGGTCTCACTACGCAGTTCAGGCTGGCCTTGTGCTCACTTTGTAGCCCAGGGTGGTCTTGAACTCGCAACGATCCTCCTGTCTCAGCCTCCTGGGTTCTGGGACTACAGGCGTGCGCCACCACGCCCGGCTGAAAATTGTTTAAAAAGTGGTAAAGAGGGGCCGGGGACATAGCTCCAAGGCACAGTGCCTGCCTGGCAAGCATGAGGTCGTGAGTTTGATTCCCGGTACCTTAAAAAAAAAAAAAAGTGGTAAAGAAAAGACCTTTTCATTTGACACCACCACCACCACCCCATCCCCTGCTCCAGCCTCTGCCTACTGACCATCTTTGGAAGACCTAGGGTTTCTAACACTCCTTGGCGCGGCCCGTTCTGGAGATTCCCAGAGCCCCTCAGGAGAGGTCTGACACGTTGGTGTTTGCATCTTTCTCAGGATTTGAAAGCAGAACTCCAGACAAGGAGGAATTTAAACTGGAAGAGCCCAAAGAGGCTGCATGGCCAAGTGCCATCTCAGCAGAGTCCCAGGCAGACATCCCTGAGTTAGCAGGACAGCCTTTTGCTCAGACAGTGGGGCATGAGACAAAGAGCGCTGGTGGAGGAGGGACCCCCCTTGGCAGCAGTGAAGTTTTGGAGGTTACAGTGGCAGAGGGTACCTCTGAGTCAGAGGCCAAAACACAGTTTATCTGCACAGAGTGCGGGGTGAACTTCCCGCAGCTCTCCCGCCTGAAGAAGCACCAGCTGAACTCGCACCCGGGCTCGCGCTCCTTCCTGTGCCTGTGCTGCGGGAAGAGCTTCGGGCGGAGCTCCATCCTCAAACTGCACATGCGCACGCACACGGACGAGCGCCCTCACGCCTGCCACCTCTGCAGCCACCGCTTCCGCCAGAGCTCGCACCTGGCCAAGCACCTGCTCACGCACTCCTCGGAGCCCGCCTTCCTGTGCGCAGAGTGCGGCCGCGGCTTCCAGCGCCGCTCCAGCCTGGTGCAGCACCTCCTGTCGCACGCCCAGGTCCCGAAGCCCACGGCCACCCCGGAGGCCGAGGCCCAAGTGGCCGAAGCCAAAGTGGCCGAGGTGGCCGTCGTCCTGTGTACCCACTGCGGGCAGACCTTCCAGCGCCGCTCCAGCCTGAAACGTCACCTGCGCATCCACGCCAGAAGCAAGGATCACGGGGGCGCAGAGGGCGCGCGTGGCCTTCACCCTGGTCGCGAGCGCAGGCCCCACGCGTGCGGCGACTGCGGAAAGGCGTTCCGGCGCCTGGAGCACCTGGTGACGCACCGGCGCGTGCACACGGGCGAGCGGCCCTTCTCGTGCCAGGCCT